ACCACCAGCTTTTGATGTTAAAAACAAGATTATTGGTCCAGCTGTAAGTTGTCATGATTATTTTATACCGTGTGCTTGATTATTTGGTTTGAGAAAATGGCTTATGTTGCTTGTGACAGTTCCCTGATGAGGAATAACAACCTGAAGTCCTATGTACACATTGGCGTTCACAGAAAAGAACCCTTGACAGTTGAAATTCAAGGAAGAACAGGCAGAAATGCTGTTTGGCAAGATTTCCATCACAGAACACCCCGAATGGCATCTGCCCATCTTCATTAGCCTGGTGGTGGTTGGGTGATCTAGTTCACGTGAAATCACAAGGTCGGTCGTTGAGCCAAGTGCCGTGGTTTCGAATCTCCGCATGTACATGACAAGGAGTAGAGTCGCCTGTCAAACCTCGTGGGTTTGCTCTGGGTCCTCTGATCTCCTCCCACTGCTAAATACACCTACGTGCAAATAAAATTGATGGCCGAATGGTTAGTGCGTGCGCGTTGTATCATACGGTCTGTCATTTAGTCAACTAGCGTGGTTTTGATTCCCCCATTATATGTGACAAGGAGTAGGGTCGCCTGCCCAAATCCTCTGGTTTCCTCCCACAGCTAAAGACCCCTACGTGCAAGCAAATTATTGAAATAAAAGTAAACCATGTGTTAGTCCCGAAATGACCTTGTTTGTGCCATGTGGACATTAAACCCCCTCGTTGATGCAGGATGTTAAACCCCCATTTCAAATAATTGATTAACCAAGCAACACTTTGACATTACATTTAATAATAGGGGTTTCACCTGTGACGTTTGACTATAAGCGCATACAAATATCACTGGATATAATGAAGTGATATAGAAGATGAATAATAATAATAATAATAATAAAGCCTTTATTCCTATTAACATTTGACAACTCGGGCAACAATAGACCTAGATGCTCAGAAAATTTCTATTCACGATGTTATATTAGATACAAATCGTATTCGAACCATATTTTGAACCGATATTCTCTTAAGAGATTCAACTTTGACAATATTTTAGTTTGAAAGACGTTAAAAATCCCTCAAATATTTATTGACTTACCCAGACAGAAATTTGTTTGAGTTTGATTCACATATTTAAATTTATTTTAACAGGGAAGTTTTTTACGGCATGTTATGAGTGAATCTGGTGCAATTGCGTCATTATGTGGCAAGGGATCAGGATTTGGTGATACGGATTCAATCGAACCAATGCATATCCAAATACAGTAAGTTGATTTAACACCTCGCATGCCAACGTTTTACACTTGTTTAAATATTTTAAATTCTCTTTTCTCGTTCTCTGTGTATAAAATAAATAAATATTGACCCAGAAAACATGTATTTAAAATTCTTGTTCGACATTCACTACATAAAAAAATAAATATTGATCAACATAAAAACTTACAAAACAAACTTTAAAATTTCATTGTCTGGTATTTTTAGAAAGAAATAAAGAGTGACAAAGAAAAACTCTACGCAACAAACATTTAAATTTTGTAACAAAATACACAATTAAAAAATAAAAAGCCAACATAAGGTATTTGAATCAATTTACATGGTTGATAATGTCTGTTAAAGGAACATACTGACAAAATAAAGTAATTCGGGTTTTTCCCTTTTTATAAATACAGCAATATTGCTGACATTGGAATTCCCAGACAAGGGAAGGCTGTCAGGTTGTTCAGAAACAATATTTATTAAGGGGAGCTTATGTCAACCTTGCAACTGAAAGCAACTGGCATTGGGAACTGGGAGCAAGGGGTGTTGGATGGCCGAATGGTTAGCACTTGCGCGCTGTATCATAAAGCCTCTCATTGAGTCAACTGGCGTGGTTTTGAATCCCCGGTTGCACGTGACAAGGAGTGAGGTCGCCTGTCCAACCTCGTGGGTTTTCTCCGGGTCCTCCGGTTTCCTCCCACTGCTAAAAGACCCCTACGCACAATCGAATTATTGAAATAAAATTAAACCATATGTTAGTCCCAAAATGACCTAGTTTGTGTCGAGTGGACGTTAAACCCCATTTCTTTCTCTCTCTCTGTAAGCAACTGAAAAAGGTTGATCTGAGCGGTTCATACAACTAAAAGCAACTAGTTGCAGTCAGTTGCACATGTTCAACTTTCTGAAACTCGCTGCAACTAGTGGCATCTTGTTTCCATGGAAATAACATCACGTGATAAGAGACATGTGTCATGTGACTTTATAAATAAGCAAATGCACGCGAACTGGACACCCACTTTTCAAATGTTGATGATGTGAACAATAATATACTACTAGAATTGTAGCAAGACCGACCATGCCTTTGGGTTGCTTCTTCTGAGTTATTCGCCATTTTGTTGATCACGTGATGAATAAATTAACAGTCATGTGTTCAGTGTGATCGCTATCAATTCCGAATCGACATAATTGCTCCGAATTCAGTTGCTCTCAGTTGTCCTCAGTTGCTGATATGATCGACACTTGCAACTGACTGCAACTAGTAGCTTTGAGTTGCAAAGTCGACATAAGCCCCGCTTTGAGAATTTTTATGTCCCTTGGTGCAAACGAATTATTGCTAAATTGGAATTCCCAGACAAGGGAAGGCTGTCAGGTGTCAGTTTGTTCAGAAATAATATTTATTAAAGTTTAATATGTCCATTGGTGCAAACGAAACGAATTAATCTCTCTCTCCCCTCTCCCCTCTCTCTCTCTCTCTCTCTCATTGATGATGTATATTATATTTTCTATTGTAGACATCCGAGTATGGAGGGTTTACAGCAAGCGAAAGCCTTAGCCTCGAATCTTATTCAAACTGTAAGTTCATTTAACCACAATCTTCACAATATCAGAATTAATTCTCCTCAAAATTCTCTCTTCTCTAGTCATACTAAATTCTACACAAATAATCTTTCAAACATTTTCAAATTTCTCTGAAATAAAATACTCTGTTTGTCTTGATTCTACAGATTGTGACCTGTCTCAAAAATTGGCCGTAAAGTTCATATTTTTCAATATTTTCTCGATGTATATTAATCTAACATAAAGACATGTTTTAATGGCCTCTCTCTTTCAGCTTGGTGGAAATAATTTCTTTTATATTCGATGTTTTGATTTTGAAGAAGGCAATTTATCTTTAGATGAAATTTTTTTTTGATTTTCATGAATTTCTGTGATAATATTTTTATATGAAACTTTGAATCGAATATTTGTAAGAATGAGTGTTATGAATGAATGGTCCTTCAAATTTTTTTTGTTATTTATTTAAAAATGCTGGTGGGAGTTTTTTTAGGAGGGGGTGAGCGGGACTGGTTTTGAGGAGGGGGTGAGCGGGATTGATCTTGGTGAATCTTAAAAGATGTGTATCTCAGCAACGCAGTTTGTATTGTCAAATAACACCTAAGTCTCTATTGTTTATTGACTGGTCAAGATCTCAAAAAACCTGTCATTGAGTCAAATGGCATTGTTCCCAGTTTGTACGTGACGAGGAGTAAGGTCGCCCTGTCCAACCTCATGAATTTTCTCTGTACCCCTACATTCAAGCAAATTATTGAAATTATGAAATAAAAAATATGTTAGTCCTGAAATGACCTAATTTGTGTTGAGTGGACATTGAACCCATTTCTCTCTCTGCCTGAGTTCTGAAGGTAATCAGAAATAATTAATCTTGGTACAAGTCTAATAATTTGAAATTTTGTTGCATTTTGCAAATTTTCCAATTTCCGGAATTTAGATTCTGTTCCTGATGTATTGAACCATTATTTCAAATAAAAACACTGCCAAATACTTGTGTTCAAACAGTAACTCCTCCCACCAGCATTTTAACTAGACCTACAGGTCTTATTAACAATATATAGCATGTTTTGTTTGCTAGATCACTTACTAAATATATAGAAAATAAATCTGAGTCTCTTAATCCAAGAAAAAGATTACCTATGTTTGTCGTTACTGTACCGACCTTATTTTTTTTTAGCCGAAATCGAGGATCCTAAACTGTTTTCTCATTTTGCAGTCCCTAAAACACTGATATGTCGATGTCGATATTATTTTCAATAATCGTACTCAGTAATAAAGCTAGAAATAGATAATACAAATAAAATGAAATGAAATTGGGTTTAACGTCCTACTGTTCTGGTCTTATTGGGCTAATGAAGACAGGCATATGCCATACATTCGAATTGTAGTTGTTCGTTTACTTCTACGCCAATAGTTTTTGTCCTGTCCTGTCCAAATGACTTAATTAGACAGTTGTCCTTGTCAGACCCTCCGTCCTGCACCACTGACATGGGAAAACAACGTCAGAAAATCGCGATGAATTTTCTCGGCAATGCAGGCTAGCAAGGCAGCGTCTTACTCACTTAGCTACCGTGGCTCCCAGATAATACAAACCTGAATAGAAAAAAAAAAAAAATACTTTACAACTGACCCAAGTAACCATAAACACAGGTGGGTTTTTTTTTGGGGGGGGGGGGGGTCCTGGCCGACCCCAAACTGCAGATTAAAATTAATTTTTTGTCAACCAGGCAATATGTATCTAATATAATTCTGTGCCCAGTCCAAGTAGACCTCAAGTAAACAGTTATTTCATTGGCTAATTCCCTAAATAAAGTAAAGCGAGACTTATTGATAAACTCTTCTAGACTCCACTGTCAAACGAAATTTAAACTTTTTAAATATCTGAAATGAAATCGTATGTTTTTGGTTGTTTTTAGTGTAGTTAAGCGATACACCTAACGATCGAGCTTGTCCCTTTTATATCCTCAATTAATTATATCTATATGAATACAGAATGGATTCAAACCATTTTTAAATTGATATTCTTTTTAGAGATTCAACTTTCACAATATTGTAGTTTACATAGGATTAAAAATCCATTAATTGAGGGTCAGAGATTTTAGATAACAAAAAACACGTGAAAAGTACAAAAATGAAATAACTCTTTAAGTATACTCGATTTTTTACATTTCCAGACGAGCTAGTTAAAAATATTTTTTTGGGTATTTTGCTTGTGGATGCACTAACCTAATACACACCCAATGTTGTTCCCTTCATAGCGATTTAATATTTTATTTTATTTTATGATTTTGCGTTAGATTGGTTTACGTTAATATTGTAACAGTTGATATATTGATCACGCATGAACTGTATATATATACACACCCTGATTGAAACACCTGTCTTGTCATTCAGTATATACACACCTTTATTGAAACACCTGTCTTCTTGAACTCGTATAGTGAAAACTCTGTTATCGCTGATAATGAAAATAAATTGACAGTGGTTCCATACGGGATTCCATGATGTTACTGAAAGTTCCTCAATAATTTCCAACCTGGTTTTCCCTTGTCATTGGTGCAGAACAGAAGGCCTGGCAAGGACTGTCTAGTGATTTGGACGGAACAAAACAAAAACTGTTACCGTGCACGTAAAATGAACCATGATTAAGTTGAATTTGATGAAGTTCAGACGGAAACACTACTGTTAGGTCAAAATTTCTCCCATAGCACACTGTATGTCATCCTCAGTATCCCCGGTGGTCGGTCTCATTCCATTCTACTCAACTATACCCTCGGTTCATCCATGGGGTATTCACGTATTCATATCATCTGCCCTTGATTGTAGATTGATTCTACAAACCAACCAAACAGATTACAAACCAGTCTTAGCCCCATTGTTTACGCTCACAGCAATATGACTGCAACAAGAGGAGTTTCTTTTCCTTCGCCAACTTCCTTAGTATTTAAAGACTTTTTTGATTGGTCGATAAAAAGGGCAGATAAATTGAATATATGTCTCCCTTGTGGATGAACCCCGGAGTTAGTGAAGTGGAACAGACTTTTATTTGTCATATCTACAGGTCGGAGAACTTACTGGTCAGTGAGTTTACTATTAGAATTTCAAGCATCTTACCCTTAAATCACAACAAATGAAATGGGTTTAACCCATTAAGTGCGTAGAACGTTATATTACGTCCTGGAAAACTGCCACTCACTGTGTGTAGGGCATAATATAACGCCTTGGAGGTATTTTCCCCAGTCTATTCTTAGAACATAGTGCATAGTTCTTCGTCACAATTACACAATAGGGGGTAGTTAACGTTTTAAAAACGTCACGCTTAATGGGTTAACATCCTACTGTCCTGCACCAAGGACAAGGGGAAACCACACCGGAAAACCCCTATGAACTTTCACAGCCAACACATGGAGCGAACCCGCGACCTCCAGAGTAGCAAACCAGCATTTTACTCACTTAGCGTCCGTGGCTCCCATTGTAAAGTGAAAGCCCTGTTAGGTTGTTTCATTAAGGGATTAAAAAGAAGGACTTAAGACTGATAGATTGATTGTAGTAAAGGGGCATTGTCATTTTTGACAAGAAATGTAAACTTGGAAAATCTGTTCAAAGTAATTAAACGGATACTTCCTTCATTCTAAGGAATCTTTGATGAACTGCTAGAAAACGGCTGTAAATCATAAATGATTCATAGGTAAAGCCTAAAAAAAAAATCCCTTTATAACAAGGTTTGAGGGCTGTTCTCACAATCAGCTTTTGAATGTACAAAATGAAAAGGTAGAAATCTTTTACCAATTGATAACAATTGCCAAATTGAAAGTGCCTCTTTAGAGATAAATGTTGAGAAAGGAGGGAGTTGTGTAATTGTTTCAAGATTTTAACAGATAATTTAAAGTAGCTAAGTCTCTAACTCAGTATCATCCAAAACATTGAAAACACGAATTATTTGTCAATTTAAATCAACATTGATGTTGTCATCTTAACGGGAAAAGATGGGCTTCTGATATCTAATATTTAACACAAATTAAACATTTTACCATTAGTACACGATACGTGTACCATAATGCGTTTCAGTGCTATTTGTAACAAGGGACTCGGAGAACAAAGCTAGACATATTCCACAAGCCATGTCAAACAGTGACTTCATATTCTTATCTGGAGAGCATGTGCAATGAATACTATCGAAGTAGACTGGAATAACCAGAGATTGCCATTCGATTGAAACTTCTGGCGTATTTCGCTGAACATGACAGATTAGAAATTAGAGTAAAAACGAAAACGATTGAATGTAAATCAGTTTATATATATAATTCATATTACATTATTGTATGCGTTGCGGCCCATTTGTGTTAATATCTAGGTCCCAGATATTAGGGATTTAGCTCCTTTAAAATGAAAGTATGAATAAAGGTTGTGTAATTGTGTAGTTTCGAGTGGCATGAAAGAAGTATTAAGTTGTGTTTCGTGGATTTAAAATGGAAGCATGAAAGGTGTTAGGTTAACTATAACAAATTGTTTGTCCTGTTTTATTCTAGGTCCAGCAAGAATACGCCCATTTCCAACAAGCTCTAGCAGCAATACCACAAGCTATGACTAATGGTAATCCAACAGTTGCTCCCATGTTCATAGGAGTTACCCAGCAGCGTAAGTCTGCGATCCTTTCATTGGTTCAATTTCTTTTCTACTATCAGCTGATGTTTCGATTGGTCACCCACCATCAATAATGGATTCCACCAGGGAACAAATTTCTCGGTTTTATTCTTCAAATACTCTTGTTTTTATTTGTTAACAAATGTTTTCTGCAGGCTCCGCAATCTATTTAATCAATATGTATTTCATTTTTTCAGGAATTATAGAAGTTTTTTCTTTTCAGACCTTGTTAAATTTTGAAAAATAAATACCACCTCAACAACATGTTTTAATCTTATGCATTTTCTTACAGCAAAAAAACAATTGTCAGTATTTCGGTTTAATTATCTGGGTGTCTACAATTTTTTTTTGTGTTCAATTAAGAATTTGTCCAATTTTAAAAATTTATAACTGATACACTATTTGTTGATAATCCAGAATGGGAGCAAATTTTTTAGTTGGATAGAAAAAAAGATTAAAGATTTGTAATTAAGAATCCCATAATCCTTTGCAACAGGATGGAGGATAAGAAGGTGACCTGATCTGAGTTGTCATGGTTACTGATACAACCCTCCTAGATTAAATATTCAGACTGTCAGAACAAATTCCACATATCAGAATTTACCGGAATCTACATGATTGTCTACACCTTGGGGTTTTTCTGCCCTTTATGTATCCAAATAGGGTTGGACTTTCTGCTTTCTGCCCAAACCAAAACTGACATCACCCATGCTATGTAGAGAAATTTGCACAATTGGTGACATGTCAACTTACCCTACTTCGAAATTAAACTGTCTTTTACAATCATTCCAACAACTACAGGTCCTTTTGTCGTGCATCTCTGAAAAGGGGAACCCGGACTTAAAAACCTAAGGAACACACCAAACCCGAACCCTTAGAAAAATAATTGAACTCACAAAGTCATTCTGATTTTCTATGCACAAGTCTAAAAATTTTAGACAAGATATGATTTCATGATATTACATATAGGACCTCCACTATATTAGTTATAATCGCAAAGGTCAGAGTTCATTGTATATATAGAGTAATACTGTTTATTTGTATTGAAGGATTAATTTAAAAGATTAGGATTAGTTAATTAATGTTAAACTACAACTTTATTACAGAATTCTCTGGTGAAACAAAAATTATTTGGACAAATTGCTGTACTCCGTTTAAAATTTAATTAAAAAATAACATTATTATAATAAAATTTAAGAGAATTCTGTGATAAAATGTAGTTATATTTAAAAAATTATTATTTTGATATTTTGTAAATTGTTGATGATCATAAAACAGAAAATACATATTAATACAGAAAAGTTTCGTTCAGAGTTCGTGTTTTTAACATATTTAACACATTCTAGCCATGTTACATTCAAATTGCAAATTATGAAAATTTTTAGAATTGATAATTGTATTTCAAAAACTTTTATATTTTACACGCTTATAAATAACTAAATATTAAATCTGCTAAATTAACAATAAGCTGATCTATCTCTCAGTCAGGTTAAAGAGAGGCTCATCAAATGAATTCAGTGAAAGTTATATTTTGGACTGGCTTGGTTTGTTTGTATCCCGTTTATATCGTCTGCAAAAAGCAGAACAATGTTGACAAATTTTTAATTCTTCATATCTGAATTGAACCATTGTTTGCTTTCAGACTAATTTAACTTTCGTAATTTTGTAATTCACAAGGGATTAACATTTACTCAAATAACTTTTTGAGACTTTAAGCTAAGTATTAAACACTGTAACCCATGTATCATTTGATCTTATGTATCTAGCACTAATTTCTTTCACATTCATTTAATATCCAATCTTTGTTTAAAAATTCAAAAATATTGTTTAAAATCACCAAAAATCATCTAATTTGTACTTGTGTCCAGTTTAAAGCTGACTGAATTATTTTGATAATGAGTGTCCAATGTACAAGTGTTTATTTCCTGACCACTGTTCAAAAATTAATCATTATACATTAATAATCAATTGGGTTGTTTATTTTTTAACAGTGATCGAGAAATTAAATACTTGTAAATTGGACACTCATTATCAAAATTGAATGGTCAGCTTTAAACTGGCCACAAGTACAAATTAGATGATTTTTTGGTGATTTTTAATGATTTGTACAAAGATTTGATATTAAATGAATGTGAAAGAAATTAGTGCTAGATACATAAGATTAAATGATACCCAGGTTACAGTGTTTAATATTTAGCTGAAAGTCTCCAACAGTTACTTGAGCGATTGTTAAACCATGTTTTTAAACGAAAATTTAATATTTAATGACTGAAAGAATTTAGTGCTACATACACAGGATTAAATGATACTCGGGTTACAGTAAAATTAGTCTGGCAAATTAAGTAATACGGAAGAAAATTTTTCGACTGAAAGAAAAAAAGTTATTATGGTAGAATATGTAATGTTTCTGATTTATACCTTCATCAATATTAGAATATTAAATATATCAACAAAACAATAACCTCTACCATGATATAAACCATGTTCACGAAAACTTTTAAAAATACAGTCTTTTCATTGGCTGATGGCTAAAACCCTAACACACATTTTATCTCTCGACCAATAAACAGGCTGAATTCTTAAAGTAGGTTTTCGTGAATAATCCCCCAAGTTCAAGGCATTTATAAAGAAGAAAGAAATAGTCGATATAGGACAGATATTCCAAATTTTTGAACCAATCTGTTTGGATATTATAAACGGTAGAACCCAGAATTAACCTGGAATAGGGATATGTATAAAAACAGACTGTTACAATCGTATTAAACCTCAACTTATTTGTCACCAAAATAAAGCGTCGCGTTGTGTTTAATAAAATGTGTTTGACGTGAATATGGATGTACTCAAAGATAATATTATGGTAGATGTTATAATGACATAGGGGACATCACTCTAAGATGCTTGGCTCTGGGCTCTTGTTTGAATCATATCAACCGGTCTTGACAGATTGGCAGTGAAATTGACCAGCTTGAGAACTTATCTGTCAGTCAATTTATACGCTATAGAATTAGACGTTCAAAGATCTAAACAGTAAAACGTAAAAACTTCAGTTAATGTTTAAATCAAATACAAAAACCATTGGGATACTGGCGAAAATTGTCATATATTTTGGTTATTCAGTAAAAAGTTGACCAACTAGGAAAATTTTGAAATAAATACCCTAGTTTGGCTATAAGGCTATACAGGTATAATTATGGTTACCGCCCAGCTTGTAGCCATGGCTACCGTCCAGCATCATCATTATAGTGGTACCCTGTGTTATATAAATTAATCCTTCAATATTTAACAACAGTAGATCTATAAATAGAATATATCATACTAATATACTGATTTATTGATTTATTACAGATTCTTTAAATGGATCTAATCTCATTGGTCAACCAGCATTAACAACCATGAATCAACCAATGACGTTAAACCAACCCTCCGTATTACCACCAGGTTTGTAATAATATCCATATATCTGTATATAATCACCGAGAAATGAAATGATTTATTGGTTTAACGTCCTACTGTTCTACTCCGACTGGGCTAATGAAGATGGGACGAATATATGGATATATTGGTTTTAGTTATAAATTAAATAAGACGAATGTGAATGATCAGACAAAATGACAGGCACTCGGGTATCCACAGTGGTCTCATTCCACTCTACCCGACTATACCCTGGGTTCATCCATAGGGTATTTACGTATTCAAGTTATCTGCCCTTGATGACTGATGTTTTTATCAACCAATTCCGTAAATCATTAATTGCAAAGGACTTAGGCAAAGGGAAGTAACTCTCATATTGTGAACGTAAACAATGAGGCAGTAAGACTGGTTTGTAAACTGTTTTTTTTTTATTGGTTTTGTAGACTTTAGTTACGACCAAGGTTAGAACAGATAATTTGAATACATGAAATACATGAATACCCCATGGATGAACCCAGGGTAGTAGAACGAAAACAAACCACTGGGGAAACTGAGGATGGCACCCGGGTAACAGTGCCTGACAAAGCCTAAATTTGTTCCTGATATTGTCTGACACCTGGTACCTTATTTCCATTCCCGAATTTGCGATCTAGAAATATGACCATTTTATTCATAATCTTTAATCTTACCATAACCTATCAGTAATTTATCTTCACTGCTGCAGATGTCAGTAATTTATCATCACTGCAGTTGTGAGACATTTATCGTCACTATGACTGTCAGTAAATAGTCATAAATGTGACAGTAATTCATCATCACTTTAGCTGTCAGACATTTATAATAAACTAGCGGATAACCTGGCGCTGCACGGGTTGTGATCGGAACCAAAAGTATGTTAAACCCAATCTATAATGTGTCTATTAACAGGAATGCAACAAGGTGGTATGGTAGGACAAGTTGGAACACATATGATACCAACAGCATCTTCACCAACTTCTGTAATGTTTACGTCAAGTTTACCATCATCTTCTATGATAAATATGCACCCAGGTTAGTTTATATATTTATAGTTGTTGGATGAGAACATAAAACAGAATGACGCCATCTGTACTCAGTTCCCCAACGACTAGCAACAGTCTGACATTCTCACATAAACCATGTTCCTGAAGCAATGACCGCAAGTTTAACAACATCTAGACTGGTCTGCAATTTCCAAACTTATAGCTGCGTTACCTCCCTTTAATGCAGACACTTGAATGATAGCGTACAATCAGGGGTTGTGACACAATCACAATAAAATCAAACATGGTCACCTCCACAAAAAGCGTGAGACTTGATATTCACGATGATTGAGGAATCCGATAGGCTCCAATCGAAACTAGTGCCGAAATATGCTGGGGATTACGTGAAGGGCTTGATCAGAAGTATTGAGTTAAAGCAACATCAAGCCTTCTATTGAAGTTGCACTTAAGTTTGAACAGTTTGCAAAAGAATGAAACAAGTCACTTTGTGAGAGAAATCTGTTACATCTGCTCATAACTATATAGATTACAAATTCAGCATATAGAGTTTTAAGAATGAGAGAGTATGTGTTCGTTGTTCATGCAGTTTTTTTAACAACAAAAACATATAGGTGTTGATTGTTTTTTTGCAGGTTTTAAGAATGAAACAGTATTTACATCAATGGGTTCGGCTGTAATGATGCCATCATCGATGTCTAACTCGTATACCACGATGGCGATAACGTCTCCTCTAGTAGCCTCACCTTTACCATCGGGTCTAATCATGTCTCATAATATAGGTAGGTCATCCTTACTAAGGGTCCAGGTGGGTGGGGAGGTGATGACTGAATGGTTAACGCATTCTCGTTACATCATAATATAGGTAGGTCATCCTTACTAAGGGTCCAGGTAGGTGGGGAGGTGATGACCAAATGGTTAATGCATTCTCGTTACATCATAATATAGGTAGGTCATCCTTACTAAGGGTCCAGGTAGGTGGGGAGGTGATGACCGAATGGTTAATGCATTCTCGTTACATCATAATTTAGGTAGGTCATCCTTCTTAACGGACAGTCGAAAATTGTCAACACTTACGTCCAAATGAAGAACCTGGGTATAGATCCTTACTAACCGACGGACAGTTGTAAAATATCAAACAAATAACCTGATCTAAACATAAACATGTACACGTTAGAATATGAGGTCTGTCATTGAGTGAAGTAGCATGTGACAAGTAGTTTAGCCTGTCCAGCTTCCTAGGGGTATTCTCTTGGTCCTCTGGTTTTTTTCCCAGGGGGCTTGGATGGCCGAATGGTTACCATGTGCGACTGTGCGTGCTGTATCGTAAGGTCTGTCATTGAGTCAACTGGCATGGTTTCGATTCCCCGGTTGTACATGTCAAGGAGTAGGGTCGCCTGTACAACCTCGTGGGTTTTCTCAGGGTTCTCCGGTTTCCTCCCACTGCTAAAGACATCTACTCGCAAGCAAATTATTGAAATAAAATTGAACGATATGTTAGATAATATTGTAGAGACTAGGGTGTATATATAGATATAAATAAAGGAATATAGATGGAGGATAAGAAGGTGACCTGATCTGAGTTGTCATGGTTACTGATACAACCCTCCTAGATTAAATATTCAGACTGTCAGAACAAATTCCACATAATATCAGAATTTACTGGAATCTACATGATTGTCTACACCGTAGGGTTTTATTTCTGCCCTTTATGGATCCAAATAGTCTTTAACTTTCTGCTTTCTGTCCCAACCAAGCTATTTAGTGAGGACAGTGGCGCTATGGTCCTCTCTTATTTCAAATTCTGTCTCAATGTTTGAAAATCCAAGAAATTTTCTTGACTAGCTCCGAGATCAAACTTGGACCTTCTATTTAATTTACTGTACCACTGTGTTATATATTATATTTTATTATAGAAAATGGAGGTATAAATAGCGAGAATGTTGTATTAGTACCCAACACCAGTGTACCACCACCAATATTACAGGCTCAACCACAACAAACACATCAATTTGATATCAATAATCCTAACAATCAATATATAGGTAAGATTTCATCGATAACAGTAATCAATAAATAGGTAAGATTTCATCTATTTCATTCTATATCTTGGGATAGTCGTCGATTTTGAAACATATGTCAATTGGTATTTTAAGGCAGGAAAAAAGACAAACCAATTTGGTTGCTCTTCTGCAAAGCTTTTAGATCAAATTTTCAAATTTCAAAAAGTTAAACAAAACATTGTACAGAAGACCCAAATGACTATTTATCAAGACCACAGTGAATTTGAAAACACTATGCTTAGGCCTCGGGGGGGGGGGGGGGGGCTAAGTTTTCTACAAATTGTTTTTCTATGTTTAAAAGTTCGATATAATATTTAGCATCACTTGTAAACTGTTGTAAAAGTTAAATCTCTAAAAGGATGTGGGGGGTTGGATGGCCGAACAGTTAGCGTGTGCGTGCTGTTTCATAAGCAATTTAGTTAGGCCTCGGGGGCTAAGTTTTCTACAAATTGTTATTCTATGTTTAAAGGTTTGATGCATTATTTAGCGCCATAGGAATCACTTGTAAACTATTGTGAAAGTTAAATCTATAAAAGAAAGTGGGGGTTGGATGGCCGAACAGTTAGCGTGTGCGTGCTGTTTCATAAGGTCTGTCATTGAGTCAACTGGCGTGGTTTCGATTCCCCGGTTGTATGTGACAAGTAGTAGGGTCGCCTGTCCAACCTAGTGGGTTTTCTCCAGGTCCTCTGGTTTCCTCCCACTGTTAATAAAGACCCCTATGTGCAAGCAAATTAATGAAATAGAATTGAACCATATGTTAGTCCCGAAATGACCTAGTTTTTGTCTAGTGGATGTTAAACCTCTCTCTCTCTCTCACAAAAGAATATCAGTTCAAGAAAGGTTCAATTCTGTTTAGTATTTACAAATTGGAATTTTATTGATCAATCTGCTCACTATGTAACAAGACCCCGCCATATTGGTAGCAGAGTACCCTAATGAATCCAGGCCTTGTTAAATTTGATATTTTAGCGAAAGTACAAATGACCCATGCAAGACTTGAATGACTTGTTATCCTTACAGCTGTTCCAGAAGGTCAGATATTAGTAGGTCAACCACAGGCAGGTGGAGGTCAGATGACCGTCGTCGGTCCACCACAAACAGTGATGTCCCCTGGTCAGTTACCGACTATAATAACCACACCAAACGGTCAAACAATGGAGTTAGTACAACAGGCCCAACCTCAACAAACTCTATCTATGGTTGGTCAACAACCGTTATCACTAGTAGGCCAACAGATACCACAGGTAGGTCAAACGGGTGGGACGATTTACCCAATACCACCCCAATATCACCACATTCTACCCAATACTACAACATAATGATGCAAAATAGACATATCATTTGATTATTTTCAAAAATAGAGAGTTGTATCGTGGGAAATGTACTTAAAATGCGATACTAATGTCTGGCTGTTCCATTTGCCTCCCTATACCACCCCAAACAAGCCTGCAACGAATATTCAATATTTTGCAGAAAAATGAAATGGTTACCCAGTTATCTTCCTTTACAACCGGTAAATTGATTTTAGATTGCTGCTCGGTTTAATCATCTTCTTTGGCTTTGCAGTTGGTTTCCAAGATGACAAACTTAAAATAAGAAAAACAAGTATGACGATGAACATAATATTCTTGCTATCACAGAGTTGTGACCTTTGGTGGGGTTGGGGTTCGAGTGGTCCAACGTATGCTCCATAGATCATAAGTTCTGCCGTTACGTCAATTGGTGTGGCTTTGATCTCTGGATTAAACTTAACAAGTAGGATTTGCCGGCCTAAAAGACCCCTACATGCAAGCTAATTATTGAAATAAAATTGTACCATATGTTAGTCCTGAATTGCTCTATTTTATGAGGAGTGGATGTAACCCCATTTCTCATCCTTGCATCTGTCTTTTGGTCCCGTCTTCATTAGCCCAGTATAGGAGCACAACAGTAGGACGTTAAACCCCATTTCATTTCTGTCTTTTGGTCCAGTGTACAATTGAAAGAATCTATGGCAATTGGAATTCCTCTCAAAATTTCCTTTTGATTCCCCGATTGTACGTGACAAGGAGTAGGGTCACCTGCCCAACCTTGTTGGTTTTCTCTGGGTCCTCCGGTTTCCTCCCACTGTTAAAGACCCCTACGCACAAACGGATCATTGAAATAAAATTGAACCATATGTTAGTCGCGAAAAGACCTAGTTTGTGTTGAGTGGACATTAAACCTCATTTCTCTCTGTGTTTTTGCAGAAAAGAAGATGTTAAAACTATGCCATTTTATTTCTAGTTTTCTGTGAGATGTAGCCAACCGTATAGTTGTGACATATCTACGCCAACTGTCTCGATGAGTATGCCAAATACATCGACCTGTCTTCCGTATAATACCAACGTACCCATCAGCTACCCATACGACACTGGTCCTCCAATCAGCCACCCGTATAACACCACGCCAAAAGAAGAACCAAAGAGAAGATTTACGGAAGAAAAACATGACGAGCCGATTCCCGATAATTTATTGGGGTATCAGCATGGTCCGTTACATTTAATGAATCAAGCTGCGTCCCAGTCGACAGTTGTACACAATAATACCAACACTATTAGTTCACAGTCTGGAATTAATCCCATATTTGGTGGTACCATAGATACGTCCAGGTAAGATTAGATTTATTTACGTAAAGGCCAGGAGAAAGAGTGAGATGAGGTTTAATATCCACCCGATGGTTTAACCGTATTAAAATGACAAGGTCTGTCATTGAGACCCTTGTTTCAATTCCCCTCTTGTACGCGACAAGGAGTAAGGTCACCTGTGCAACTGGGCCCTCCGGTTTCCTTTTATAGCTAAAAGACCCCAAAGTGCTAAAATATATTTTCTCTCTCTTTCTCTTTAGTTCTGTTACAACTAACATTATTATTTCCAGAACAACGTCTCAATTTCTTGTCACGATTTCTTTTCCACAACAATTTGCTGGGCACCACCCTAAAAACACTGTTTTGTCTGTGATGGTGTTATAAATGACAATTCTCCCGTCACTTTTGTGGTTATTTGAGGATTTGTTTTTTTATACATGTAACTGGTTTCCCCCCTTGTCGGTGTTGTAGGAAGGAGGACCTGGCATGGAATAGTGTCTAGTTGTTCAGATGGGACAAACAAATATCAATGTACTGTGAAGCGTTGACAGTTGTAAATTGATGTTATTATTTTTATATAATTATAGACCTGGAGTATCACCATACAGTGAAACACAGACAATGATGCCTCCACCACCTAAAACAGGTACATAATTTATATATAGATTAAAACAGGCAGTGTTGACTGACATGTCTGACATTCGAATCCTCATTTGACGAGAAGAGCTCTCTGACTTGGCACCATTGATTGTGTCTAGTCGTTGGGATGGGACAAAAAACCGAGGTGCACGTTAAAGATCCTCTTGGCAATTGGAATTAAAAATGAATATCAGTCCAATGAATGGTTCTGTTCTATTCAGTATTTAGCAGGGTTGTGTGGTCAAATGGTTAACGTGTGCACATTTGATCAAAAGATTGTCATTGATTCAAATCAAATGGCATGGTTTCGATTCCCCAGTTGTACGACAAGGAGTAGGTTTACTTGTCTAACCTTGTGTGTTTTCTCTGTGTCCTCTGGTTTTCTACCACTGCTAAGGACCACTATGCACAATTGAATTATTGAAATAAAATTGAATGTGTTAGTCCCAGAATGACCTCTCCCTCCTCTAGTACCACATGTAATCTTGGATATCTTTTGATGTTCTAACTGTAGATGTTGAACCTTGGAGGATTATTTATATTAATGTTTATCTGTTGATACAGGTACTAAAAGAAGTTCACAATCATCTGATGATGAACCAAAAAGTAAAAAAGATAAAAATTTAACCAAGAAAATAATAAACAAAGGTAAGAGATATATATGTTGCATTAGGTAGGTTCATTATCCAGGTGTGTACAGTAGATTGATGCTCACCTGTATTGTTAAAACACCATTTCAGTTATTGAGTCAAGGGATGTGGTTTTACCTGTCAGTTATTGAATCGAGGGGTGTGGTTTTACCTGCCTAACCGCAGGGGTGTTCTTTATGTCCTTCTGTTTTCTCCAAGTGCTAAACATTCCTAAGCACATGTTAAACCCCGTATCTCTCTTGCTATCTAATGTGCGGTGGCTAAGTGGGTATGATGCTTGCTCGTTAGCATGGCGGTCGGGTGTTTGGTCCCCGCATTGGCTGACAAAGTTCATCAGGATTTTCCGGCGTGGTTTCCCCATGTTAGTGGTGCAGGACTGAGGGCCTGACAAGAAAAGCTGGGATGAAAAACAAAAGTCCTGTGTATACATTGGCATGCACGTAAAAGATCCCTTGGCAGTTGGAATTCGATATAAGAGTAGGCCATAGTGCCACTACCCGGGCAAAATTTTCCTCATAGCACACTGTATGGCGTATGCCCGTCTTCATTAGCCCAGTTCAGAGCAAAACAGTAGAACGTTAAACCCTATTTTATTTTATGCCATCTATTGTAGAACACTAGATCTATTTTCTTTTCTCTCTACAGAGGACAACGGTGAACAAAATATGGATGTTATTAAGGAGAATGGGAAGAACGGAGAGAGTGAAATAACCACCGAGAATCGGGACAATAGTCGAATACCTACAGAGGGAACGATAGATCCCCAGTTTCAGCCTTATAAAATAGCTATATCATCAGCCCCTACGTTATACAATACCCAGGCAATAACCCCTGCTAACCCCTCTTATCCCCAATATTCACAACCTCCTCCCGACCAACCCCAATTTATAACAACCAATCAGGTTCCTGTACAAGAACAAACACTATATCAACCCCTCTCTAGCCAACCGTTACCGATACACAGTCAGAATATCCCAGTTGCCAGTATGTCAGTCGCAATGCAAAGTCAACCAATGACAGTAGTTAGTCAACAGGTATCCAATCAGCTGTTACAACCTATAGCCAATCAGCCGTTACCTGTGTACAGTCAACAGTTACCTATATCCAGTCAACCGTTACCTGTAAGCCAATCATTTCAGGTACCAACTCAACAGTCCACTACCTTACAGTACAGACCTTCTAGTCCCCAGAATATCCCCTTCCCTCAATGGGGAGGTCCTGCTGCTTCCCCGCTAGCACCACCACCTCTACCCCCTACGTCCTTTTATCAGAACAACCAACCCCCGCAGTGGAATACTGGTATATCGGAATCTGTTTATACGACGTCGACATCGCAGGCTGTTTTTTCAACCCCTCCTCCTCCCCCAACATCTATACACCATTTTCAACAACCTCCGCCTTCGTTACCATTCTGGGTCGGTCCAAACTAATGAAATCTGTAAACCTAATTTGTGCCATAATTTACCCCAGTTGAAGGTTGTAATTTGTACAGTGAGAAATTTGTATGCTAATTACAAGTATAGTGGCTGGAGGACTGTACCATGCACAAAACTACACAGACAATAAATAAGACACATCAATCAAGTGAATGGATCCGTTAGGCTAGCTGTAAGTGTCCATTGTACGGTACAACCCTGGGCCGTGAATGATACTAATGACAATAATGTTTGTGTCTCCATGTATATAGAAATACTGAAGATGCATATAGAGAGACAGCTAGATTATGATTATGATTTTATATCAGAATGAAGATGTAAAAATGGTTGTTTTATTAACTGGACGTTTTTTATATTACTTTTATGGAAATAATGGACATCGATAGTAGAATTGCTCTTGATCCATCTGTTTTGATGGTATTAAAAAACATTCTGTGCCGGTGATTTTAAATGACAAGGAAATGAACATCTATATTAATACTAAACCAAATAATGAAATAGGAAACTGTTGTTTGATACAATCATGGACTCGACTTTAGGTACTGTGGTGAACTTGATTGATACAAATCGTGGACTCGTCTCTCTGTACTGTGGTGAACTTGATTGATACAAATCGCAGACTCGTCTCTAGGTACTGTGGTGAACTTGATTGATATAAATCATGGACTTGTCTCTAGGTACTGTGGTGAACTTGATTGATACAAATCATGGACTCGTCTCTAGGTACTGTGGTGAACTTGATTGATACAAATCGTGGACTCGTCTCTAGGTACTGTGGTGAACTTGATTGATATAAATCATGGACTCGTCTCTAGGTACTGTGGTGAACTTGATTGATACAAATCGCGGACTCGTCTCTAGGTACTGTGGTGATTAATACAATTGTGAACTCGATTTTCTGTACTGGTGGTGACTTTCTGTACTGTGGTGAATTCATTTAGTGGACAATTGTTGAACTCCTTCTCTCTTGAGCTCATATTTAAATCACCAAAGATGACGACTATACTGGGGTTTAAGATATAAAACCCATTTGATTCTATTATCAGTAAGTCTGTGCAGTAGATTAAAAGGATATAAATAAAAGTATAATTTGTGTTTTAATTACATGGAATATAAAGCTGTATGTACATATTGTTATATTTCATTCAAGCACCTGTTGTATCTGTAAACTCGAGTTACACCAGCCAAATTTGTAGTTACTGTGTATAGATTATTATATCTTTTGTTTTTGAAATGAGATAATTTTTATTATTATTATGGTTTTTGTCTCCATTCTGTGTTTCCTACTTCTTCACAGATCTGTGTCTGTATTACTAGATGCTAATAAAACAAAATTCTTGGAGGAATTTAATAATAAATAGGGGGCTGTGTTGGTCAGATAGTTTAAACCAAGATCATAATGTCTATGAAGTGTCATGGCTTTGATTCCTCGATTGTATGTGACAAGGAGTAAGGTCGCCTGTCCAACCTTGTGGGTTTTCTCCAGGTCCTCCGGTTTCCTTCCACAGCTATATATTGACCCCATTATTCAAGCAAATATTGAAATAAAAAATGAAAAATATTAGTCCCTAAGTTACCTAAATTGTGTCGAATGGGTGTTAAACCCTCTCCCATTTCCTACATAAATAAAATGGAAATAATGGGGCCGAGAGAGAAACAAGAGGATGTGGCACAGATCTGTGGAGGAAAGAGAAACAGAAAGCAGCTTGGTTTTGTCTCGAGAAAAAGTTTTGTTATATATATATATATATTTGTAAATATATTTGTATATATATATGTGTATATTTCATCCAACCCATTTGTTAACTTATTAATTATGATTTGTTGCCAGTTATAATTTTATAGTATTAATGAGTTTTTCATATCAACTTCACACCAGGGCTTGGATTTCAAACTTTTGTCAGCCAGTCAAATTATCTCATATATTTCAGATTAGCCCAACTTCTTTGGCGTGGACGTAAAATAACCCTTGACAGTTGGAATTCGAAATAAGAGTAGGCCTTAGTGCCGCTGTCTGGGCAAAAATTCACTCTAGCATACTGTATTTTATATGTCCTTCTTTAGTCGCCCATTTGGTGCAGAAAAGTGGAATATTAAACCCCATTTTATTTTCAAAGAATATGCAAATATCTCCATTTATATTTATAAGCCTATATTTAAATGATACTACACTCAGTAACTGTGAATTTAATTCTGCTTTATAAGGTTAAATTCTTTGACAGTCTGATTTAATGGACCAAGATCTTCAGCGAGTCAAATTTACTGCCAATCAGTCAGGTCTGGTCAATATGACTGAATCAAGAGCCCATGCCTTGGTTTCACAAAACATTCTCAGACTTAAGTTAAGAATTTATACAAAATTGTTCGCCTTATTTTAACTGAAATGTAGCCCTTTATAAAACTCTTGTTTTAATGTATCAAATACATCAATAAGAAACTATGTGCAAATTTTTGTGTTTCTGAATCAAAGATGTTTGTCATAAACAGTGATTGAAAGTTGACTAAATTCTTAAATTAAGTCTGAGAATGTTTTGTTAAACCGAAACCTGGTACACAGCCTTTTGAAGTCAGTTGTTATTTTCACCAAGGTCAGCTTTTCTACATTGCCTACCATACACATAGTTCTAAGTCATATCTGATTTGTCAAAATAAAGTTTCTCTACCAGACATATTTAAGTTTTCCAGGCTTGTTTTTGTTTTGTAAAAATAATGAACTGACTTGGGTTGAGTTGTGAAGAATCTGTCTATAATGATAAATAGTATTATTAATTCTGTCAATAAATTTATACCATACCAACAATACAAGTTTTATTATTTATCACTAGTAGATGATGACCTGTACAGTGGCGGCGCCAGCCGTCGGTGATTGGAGGGGCAAAGCTGGGGCAAAGTCCAAGGTTAAGGGGGCAAAGGCACGAGCTTCAACTAGGGGTAGGAGGCCTCCCCCAGAAAATTTTGAAAAACAGGTTGCCGGAAAAGCAGCCTGGCAGTATTTCAGGCACTGATCGATGAGGTAAAGTGTCAAACGAACGGACTTGCGAATCACGACGAAGCCCACTCAAGAGCGTCAAAGTAGGGAGTCCACCCCCAGAAAATTTTGAAAAATAGACTGCCGGTAATACTGTCTTACAGTATTCTGTCAGGCACCGATCGTCGAGATAAATAGATCTGACCAGATACCGTCCGTCGCCTGATCACTAGTTTATCCGACTAGAGAACAAAATGTCAAACGAATGGACTTGTGAGCGCCAAAGTAGCAAGTCCATTGGGCACCTCGCCAAGAAAATTTTGAAAAATAGACAGTCGGAAATGCTCTACAACATGCAAGTTTATGACTGAGTGGGGATGTGGGATTTATTCACCGTAGAAAGTATTGATTACCGAAACGTATCACAAATACTTTTTTTTATTTTCTAAAATTATTGGGGGGGCAAACAGAGGGCAGACCAGATTAATGGGGGGGGGGGCAAATGCCCCCCTGCACTGGACAGGTACGAGCCCCCCACCCTCACGACTAGGCTATTTGACAGGTACGAGCCCCCCACCCTCACGACTAGGCTATTTGACAGGTACAAGCCCCCCACCCTCACCAGATTAATGGGGGGAGGCAAATGCCCCCCCCCGCCGCCACTGGACAGGTACTAGGCTATTCGACAGGTACGAGCCCCCCACCCTCACGACTAGGCTATTTGACAGGTACGAGCCCCCCACCCTCACGACTCGGCTATTCGACAGGTATCAGCCCCCCACACTCACGACTAGGCTATTTGACAGGTATCAGCCCCCCACACTTACGACTAGGCTATTTGACAGGTACGAGCCCCCCACCCTCACGACTAGGCTATTTGACAGGTACAAGCCCCCCCCCACCCTCACGACTAGGCTATTCGACAGGTACGAGCCCCCCCACCCTCACGATAAGGCTATTCGACAGGTACAAGCCCCCCACCCTCACAACTAAGCTATTCCACTGATGAGGCCTCCTCCACACACCAGTAGATAAAGGGGAGTTGAGTGGTTTATAGCAGGCCTGTCATTGAGTCGAGCGACATGGTTTTTGCTTGCCCGCTTGTACGCTACAAAGAGTAGGGTCATGTTTGTTGCCGGGACAAAATTTCCTTCATAGCATACTGTATGGCGTATGCCCGTCTTCATTAGCCCAGTTGGAGCAGAACAGTAGGACGTTAAACCCCATTTCATTTCGGGCCATATCATAAGGTATGTCATTAGAGAAGAGTGGTAGGCCTATGATTTCCCACTTGTAATAAAATTATACTGTGTTAGTATTGAAATGACCCAATTTGTGTCAAGTGGACATTAAACCCCATTTCTCAATCTCTCAACTGAGTAGCTATGAGTCTGGTTTGGGAGCCACGGTGGCTAAGTGAGTAAGATTCTGGCTTGCTACCCTAGAGGTCACAGGTTTCAATCCCAAGACACCATTCCTTTTTGGCCTTCCCATCCTGCACCACTGACATGGAGGAAACCATGACAGAAATTTGTGAGGAACTTTCTCGCAAACCCAAGACCTTCTGGTTAGCAATTCAGAAACTTACTGCGACTCCCTGATGTAAATTGTTTGGTCAACTGAACAGTAACAAAAGACCATTTTCAAAAATATTTTTATTTCAACATTTTGATTGGTGCAACAACCAAAAATAAATAATAAATTAAAAACATTTCCATGGCAATTAATATACATGTATATATATATATATATATATATAATATTTATATAGATTTACAAATAGGTTTATTATATTATTAATTAATTTACAAATTATTAAACTCAATATATTATTTATAATTTAAAATTAGTGTGAAGTCTATATACTCTAAGAAGTGCTAAACTCGGTAATATTAATTTCTAATGTAGGCCTACTTACATATTAATAATAGGCCTACTTACATAATAATAATAGGCCTACTTATATATTAATAATAGGCCTACTTATATATTTAAACTGAAATGGTTGTTAAGACAGATATGGGAATACATATATATTTAAACTGGAATGTTAAGACAGATATCAGATATGGGAATACATATAGCACAGTGTTTGTTTATTTATAAATATATTGTTTCTTAAACATACATCATCACTCATACAGAGAGAGAGAGAGAGATAGAGAGAGAGAGAGGTTTATGTCCACTTGATACAAACTAGGGTCATTTTGGGACTACCAATTTTATTTTAATAATTCAATTGTGTGTAAGGGGTCTTTAGCAGTGGGAAGAAACCGGAGGACACGCAGAAAACCCATAAGGTTGGAAAGGCGACCCTACTCCTTGTCACTCACAACCGGGGAATCGAACCACGCCAGTTGACTCAATGACAGACCTTATGATACAACGCGCACATGCTAACCATTCAGTCATACAACCCTCCATTTAGATAAAGAACTGGCCATTCTTGTCACCTACAATCTTGGAATCAAGTTTAAATAGTTTAAGCATAAGCGTCTGAACGGCCTATTATAAGTTGCTTAGTCTGATGTTCTTAAAATAATTTCAGTCAGACTTTAAAATCAAGTTTAAAAAAAGAATGACAGAAAAACAAAAAAACAGAAAATAATTATTGCCTCTAAAATATAAATATTCTTAAAAGGTTAAAACTGAGTTCAAGATTTTCGATAAATTGTTAAAACAGTTCAGGTTAGTAAATTTTAGATGAAGTTTATGTGAATAAAAAAAAGCATTCTTCCCAGTAACCCACTTTACCCCCAAAACAGCATGTCATTTGAGGAATTGATTAATACCCTACAATCTACAACATTGTGAAAATTAAATGTCTAAAAAGAATATATCAGTCCAAAAATGGTTGAATTCTATTCAGTATTTACAATAACATGGCAAATTGAAAAATTATCAACATTCGGCAAAACCAGTCCGCGCCACCTTTAATAGGCCTCATTTTAATCTGACCGAATGCAATCCCGGAGAATATCTCCCATTGTTATTTTGATTTTGTTTTCTTAATTAAATGTTAAATTATCAAAGTAAGTACATTTTAGCTTCAATTAAATCAGCCCTGCTTCTCCATTTTTAAATTAAATGGCGATCGTATTTTAATCCATTTACATCTGCGCCATCCGAAGCTTTAGTGAGTTGATCATTAGCTTGTCATGTGAATAAATGTCTAAATAAGAATTCATATAATGTTTGAATCTAAAATAAAAAAAACCTGTAATAATAGGTAGATTTAACTCTTACATAATGCATCTTTAAAAATAGACAATAAACAACAAGATAATAGTTTTTACAAATGGTTGATTTGAATCATTTGTGTAAAGTTAACATGATTTTATATTTCAAAATATCAACAAATTAATAACATTTGAAATTCTCGTACATTTAACGGATTTTAAAATGATAAATATTATCACAATATACAACACAAAAACAATAAAAACATAAAACGTAGAATATCAGATTCAATACCGGTAGTTGTAATTACATATCACTTATAATGAAAATATCACAGAATTATTCGTAATACTAGAAAATATCCTGGGAAAACTAGAATATGTTGTCATGGCAATACTACGATGTGTCATGGTTATACTATAATTTCATAGCAATACTGGAATATGTCATGGCAATATTAGAGTACATTGTCATGGCAATATTAGAGTATGTTGTCATGGCAATATTAGAGTATGTTGTCATGGCAATACTAGAGTATGTTGTCATGGCAATATTAGAGTATGTTGTCATGGAATTACTAGAATATGTCATGGCAATATTAGAGTATGTTGTCATGGCAATATTAGAGAATGTTTTCATGACAATAATAGAATATGTTCTCATGTCACTGTGTTACTAGAATATGTTATAGAAACACTAGAAAGTTTCATGGCAATACTTGAATATATCATGGCATTACCATAATGTGTGTCATGATCAATTAAAGAACTTAGATAATAAATACACTGATATATACATCAACCCTCATACACGTTGGTCTCCATATATTACAAGGATTATGGGAATGTTTACAGGTGAGCTAAATTTGTAAATGAAATTACTGAGTATTAATTATTTCTACTAGGACTTGTTTCTCTCTCAAAGTTCTCGTCAATTAACGACAGAGTTATGGTCACCGTAATTAACGACAGAGTTATGGTTACCGTAATTAACGACAGAGTTATGGTCACCGTAATTAACGACAGAGTTATGGTCATCGTAATTAACGACAGAGTTATGGTCATCATAATTACCGACAAAGTTATGATCACCGTAATTAACGACAGAGTTGTGGTCATCGTAATTAACGACAGAGTAACTGTAATTAACGACAGCGTTGTGGTCACCGTAATTAACGACAGAGTTATGGTCACCGTAATTAATGACAGAGTTGTGATTGTGATGAGAGAGAGAGAGTCATGGGATTCAACGATCACTTGACACCAAACAGGTCATTTGGTGACTAATATGGCTAGTGTTTATTTCAATATTGACTTGCGCGCAGGACGTTTTTAGAAATGAAAGGAAACCGGAAAACAAGGAGTAATCCTATAAGGTTGGGTAGGTGACCCTATAAACACGATTGTGGGCGATATCCATGACTTGCATAGATGACAGACCACGCATTACACCGCTTGGCCACCCAAGTCCCAAGGTTGTCATGAAGACCCCAGTATACTCATAGAGACTCATATAATGGAGAGTTTACATTCCACTTGACATGAACTAGGTCATTTCGGGACTAACACATGGTTCAATTATTTCAATAATTCGCTTGCGCGTAGGGGTATTTAGCAACCAGAGGAAACCGGAGGACCTGGAGAAAACCCAC